CCGGGCTTGTAAGCCTGACTCTTGACTCCACCTGCTGCCCCTTACAGCTGCCTACCACTCAGCTGAGCTATAGGTTCAGCAATTTAAAAACTTCCCAAGCCCACCTCCCAGCCCCTCTGGCTTCTCTTTGTGGCAAATTAAAAGCTGGAGGATCTGGGAGCTGGGCATGTCAAGGCTGTTCACAAGCCTTGCTCTCAGTCCCATCCTGTTGCTGCCCCTACCACTCAGGTGGGCAGCAGGAGTGGAAATTTCAAAAGTTGGAGAGGCCAAGAGCTGAGTTTGGGGAAAGTCTCCTCACGCTGGGCTTCTGGCGCCCCAGCTTTCCCTTGTACAGCTGAGTGCTCCTCCTAACCCTGCACTTGTCTAAGTCAGGCCAGTGGAGTATAACAAGTGCGGCTATTCTATAGAGGGGGAAAACTGGGAGGGTTCCCACCATGAGGGAATGCCCCCCTCCTACTAGACAGCTGATTGGTGAAATGGGGGGCATTCTCCCAGGGTTGGACCCTTCCCAAGAAATGTCTGTGGTGGCTGCGAACTGTCACTTGGCAGCCTGTCCCCCAGGCATGGGAAGAGGGCAGGGTGTCGAGTAATGTACTCCCTTAAGGATAGGGATGGCCCAGGGAGCAGCCGTCTAATGCCCCTGGCTGGAGAGCTCACATGTGAAGCTCTCCAGTCATTTGGTGAGAGGAATGTCTATACAGTCCACTTCCTAGGCTATTTTTCTATCAAAAGAAACAAACTTCTGTATGCAGCCCAAGGTTGGCACAAAGTAAAATGTTGATAATCTTTGGCATTCCAGACTACTCTACATCCCTTCTTCAACAACTGTCCAACTTCAGTAGACAATAACCTGTCCTGAATTATGTTGTTAATAGATATATATATATATCTATATATATATATATATATCTATATATATATCTCTCTCCATGTATGTTCTAGAGCCAGAGCAAAATAATCTAACCTTCAGAACCAAAAGTTTCTATGGCTCTATTCATGTTTTTATAGGAAGGGTAAAATTCTAATTGCCTTGGACCTCAAAAGGCTGAATAGATGCATGAAGAATAAAATAGAAAATTAGAATCTAGCTTCAACTATTTCTTAATCTCCAGACTACTTTTTAACCTTGGACCTAAGAGAAGTTCATCTACATCATGGGTCGGCAACCTATGGCATGCGTGCCCAAGGTGGCACACGGTACGGTTTTTATTGGCACGCAGACTGCTTCCTGCCCCAAGGGGCGGGAAGAGCCGTGCCCAGATCGAGCAGCACGTGGCTGCCCGGGAACAGCCTTGCACTGCCGCCAACCCGTGTCACCAACCCCAGCCAGGTAAGAGCCCCCGGCCCCAACCCTAGCCCAGCACCACCACTGGCCCCGGCCCCGGGCTGGGGGCTGTCGGTGCCCCGATGGCCCTGGCCTCGCACTGCCAGGCTCCCCACCGGCACCACCACTGCCACAGGCCCCAGCCCAGTGCCAGCACCAGGCTGGGGCCGTCAGCAGCGTTGGGATGGGGCTGGGGCCGGGGCCGGGGCTGTGGACCTGCACGGGCCCTGGCCCCATTCCGGTGCTGCAGGCGGCCCCGGCCACATGCTGTTGGCGACCCCAGCCTCATCCAG